AGGTTGATCTCCTCTTCTTTGTGGCAGCCCCTCAAATATTGGAACACTGCTATTACATCACCCCTAGTCTTTTTTTCCCCACTAGACTAGAGTAAGTTCACTCTGTTACTCTTATTGTATCTGCAGATAACTACCCAGTGGACCCTGTTTTAGATTACCAGGTCACTCTTAGATAAGGAGAGGCAAAGAGAGCCCTTGCAGAGTTGCTGTGAAGTCTATTCAAGCAGAGTTGGACTCCAGCTGGCAGGTCCTATGGAACTGACTGGGGCACATACTAGTTTGTTTATCTTGGAAGAGTTTAAACAATGTTATCTCATTGCTCTGAATTTAAGAAAATATTTCAATCCCCTTTGCCTAGATCATTGTTTCTTAAAGTATAGTGTGAGGACCCTTAATTCTCTGTAATAATCTATCAGCCAGATATTGAAGATACTGTACTTGTAAAAATTCAAAACAGTGTAACTCTTCTCATTATTTTTTATTCATTAAAATATTTTTCATAAATATTTTATTTATGTTAATATCCAATGGGTTTAATTTTATTATTTTACAATAAACCATTCCTTGAATAGATTAATTTTAATTTTTAATGCAGTAAATACAAACAAAACCTCCTTCATACATTATAAAAATGGGAAGAGATCCTGAGAATAAAAAGTTTCAGAAACTTTAAGAAAGTAATGAATCCTACATATAAGTAGTCCTCAAAGTGTGACCCTAATGGACCTTGCCTATTAAGGTCATATGTCAAAACTGTCCTATATTGAATTTGGTACATTTGTGTGACATTTTTTACTATGCTGGTTAAGTAACCTAACCAGGTCATTAAGTGAACGAAGATCAGGCTTGCTGTTTGCTTCTTTATTAAATGACCTTCTTATTAAGTAAACCAAGAGCTTGGGAATTTGAATGGCTCTCCTGCCTGTTGCCCTCCCATCAGCTGTTCTACAAGCAGTCTACAGCAGTACACACTAACCCTCAAAGCAAAAGCAAACACAGTTACTGTAGAGCAATAAAGAACTTTACAATATCTTTGCTTTCTATAGATGTTGTCCAGTATTTGTTCAGCAATCTCAAACACGTGCAAACAAAGAGTATAATGCAAATACTGTATAATGCAAAGGGACTTTACAGTACTAAATGTGCACAGATAGTCTTCAACTTACACCTCCAATTGAGCCCAAAATTTATGTTGTTATGTGAGACATTTGTTAAGTGAGTTTTGCCCCATTTTGTGACCTTTCTTGTACCAGTTGTTAAGTGAATGACTGCAGTTATGTTAGTAACAGTTGCAAAAGGTGATCACATGACCTTGAGACACAGAAATAGTCGTAAGTATGAACCAGTTGCCAAGTATCTGAATTTTGATCACATGACCATGCAGATGCTGCAAGTCATAAGTGTGAAAAATGGACATAAGTCCCTTTTTTCAGTGTTGTTGTAACTTTGAACCGTCACTAAATGAACTGTTGTAGGTCAAGGATTACCTGCAATGAAAAATACTTTATCTTTGTAAAATACTTAGAAACAAGCACAGTACTATAATGAAAAAAATATTTTTAAAGTACATACAAAGGCAAGTACATTACTCCAGTCCTCAAGGCAACAGCAATGAAAGAAGCAACAAGAGATTTACTCCTCTCTCCATTTGGCAGCAGTGAGGAAGAAAAAAGTAGTACACTGGCTGCAAAGTCCCTGAATTTTGATTGGTCATGTGACCAAAGGGGAAAAAACTGCATGACCATATGGGCCTCAGAAATTGCCGTTCTAACTGCAGGCAGCTTTTGGGTCCCAAAAGGAGGTCACAACACTAAAAATGGCTGCCATTTTAAAGGAATCGAATCCAGGTCACATGACTGCAGAGGCTTCTTATTGGTCACAATTTCTGGAGAGCTGTTATTTTTTTACTTTAGATGGTGTGATTCTCTTCCAGACAAGAGTTAGTGCACTCTTTGGGTTTCATTCTAGATTTGTGGCTCTTGCTGAAAGAAAAATGCCTTTGCACAAATTCATCTTTTGTGCCAATTGCACCCATTCTTGGAGGCCTTGCTGACATTCACTCATGCCCTGGTTACTTCCTGATTAGTTTATTGCAGTATGCTCTTCATGGGACTACCTTTGAAGATCATCCAAAAGTAATAAGTGATCCAGAATGCAGCAGCACAAGCAATTCTAGGCATCCTGCTGCTATTGCAAGAGCTGGTGACTCAGTTTATTTTTATGTACAATTCAACTTGCTAGTTATCTACTTTAAAAACATGAATGTCACAGGACCAGGCTCTTTGCAGAAGTGGTATCTCTGTGGCTATCTGCCCATTCCCACCAAGTTAAAATGGACATGCTCCAGTTCCCCCCCCCTTTAAATGTTGTCATCTGATTCAGTATTATGATTGGACACACAGTCAGCCAGAAGTTTAGATTAGATTTGGCATTTTTGTTCGCCTATCAAGTCCTTCCCAAAGACCTGGAATAGGCAAATGCTATTTAATAATAAAGGTACAGGTGTAAAGATGTACCTTTAACAGTTGATTAATGGTGATACATTTCATTTGGCCTTATAGTTTGGTCTCTGGTATTTAATAAGCCTTCATGGTGTATTAATTTCAGTGCATCTTCTTCAGTGTCCTTCAGATATTCTTCTAATGCTCTTTTTTCTTCTTCTCAGCTCCCTAAAGCGCTTGCAACATTCCTTTGAATGCTCCTTCATATTGTTATTATTATTATTTATTATTATTCCTCAATTTCAGATATTTTAATCTTTGTTCAATTGGCTTCATGTATCTATGCATGTGTCAATACGCATGCACTAAGTAATAGTACAATGGAGATTGCATTGTTTTAAGGCATTAGCTTCACATGAAACTATTATCATATAACTACTACTGTGATATGAAAGGAAGTGCTTCTTTTGCTTTGTTGTATTCAATTTTGGATAAGTAATTTTGTTTGCAATATTGACATCTTAAAATATTATTCATAATGATAATATTTTTATTTCTTTTTTATTTTCAGTATGTTAAATTTTCTGAGTAATAAAATGTTTACAATTTGTAATCCTATTACATACATACTATTACACTGAAATAGTCACCGAAATATTTATAACATTAGATTTATAACATTACAATAGAAGAGAAAAATAATTCAAGCAGAAACTAATGAATTAAAGCTTCATGTTGAGAAACGCAAACTCAATGTGGTATAATCCATATATAAGAATATAATCCATAAAGAGTTTCCAATTTGCATTTTTAAAAATATGTTGTCATCTGGCAGGATCTTAAGATATACCTTCTCTATAGCTGCCCTGTCCTTTGGAACAGCCTGCCTTGTGACTTCTGGAAGGATTCTACCCTTTAAGCCCTTTGAAAAGCCCTGAAGAGCTGATTGTTCCCCAAGGTGTTCATTTAAGATGTGAATGGTGTTGCAAATGTATGGTGGAAGTACTGTTTCATTGGGGCACCATGAAGTCTGTAGCAGTGTTGTTTTATTTTCTATGTCAATTTTACTGTGAATTTAAACAAGGTTATTGTATATAAGATGGATATCAATATAAGTATTACCATGTTTCCCCGAAAACATGACCTCCTCAGAAAGTTAAATCCTAGCTTGATTTTTACATGTGTGCCCAATATAAGCCCTAACCCCCCAAAAAATAAGCCCTAATTAAGACCCCACCCACTCCAGGGTGCACAGGTAAAAATTAAGCTAGGGTGGGGGTGGAGCTGCCCTGCTACTTACCTTCTGACAGTTGCAGCCAGACCTTGCACACCCTGACACAGGCCTTGATGGCCCATTTCTTCTGCTGGCAAGGCTTTCCTGAAGGAGTCTGTAGCCGATAACAGAGCTCCGGGTTGATCTGCAGAGGCCTTTAGGAAAGCCTTGCTGGCCTTGCCAGACGAAGAAGTTCCTGAAGGCCTCTGATAGTGAAAAAGAGGCTGGGGGCAACGTGCGCAAATGAGATGAGTCAGTGGACGACATCCTGCCCTTTGAAAATAAGACCAGGTGCGGCAAAAAAAAAATAAGGCAGGGTCTTATTTTCAGGGAAATATGGTATTAAAAATAAAATTGTAGAATCTGACCTTTTTTGAGGAATATTATTTAGGGCATGGGATGGGAATGAGGAATAACTTGGATACGAGTAGTCCTCAACTCATAACCACGGTTGAATCCAAAATGTCTGTTGATAAGCAAGGCAGTTGTTAAGTGAGTTTTGCCCCACTTTTCATCCTTTTTGCCACAATTGTTAAGAATCACTGCAGTTGTTAAGTGAATCATGCTGTCATTAAGCAAATATGGCTATCCTCATTGATTGTGCTTCTTGGAAGTTGGCTGGGAAAGTTACAAATGATAATCAAATGACCCTCAGATAGTGCAACTGTCATAACTATATCCAGTTGCCAACTACCTGAATGTTGATTACATGGCCATGGGATGCTACAACAGTTTTAAGTGTGAAAACTGGATTATAAGTCTATTTTTTCAGTACCATTGTAACTTCAAATAGTCACTAAACAAATGATTATTTGTTAACGACTACCTGTACTAGAAAATTGGAAAAGTATTACCCTGAATATTAAAGACTTGAATAAAAGTTATGTAATTATTTGATATAACTGGAAATTTTTAATAATCAAAACTGACACTATGACCTATATTTCATAATATTTCACAAGAAAATATTTATTTTAATGTTTAACTGGATAAATTGTAGTTAAATGAATATATACTATATTTACTTGATTTATATACATTTAGCTTATTGGTTTTAGGGAGTTTTCTGTTAAAATGTTTATTTTATTTTGTGTTTGTGTTTTGATACTGCAACTGCATAAATGGTAATTTGTTCAACATTAATTATTTGTTTTCTATCTTGTTTTATCTTTGTCTCTTTTAAAACAAATAATTAAAATGTCTATAGCTTATTTTGGGAACTACCTGGCTACTAGATTCTTCCCTGTGGTTCATCCTATACGTATATTTTGCAATTGCTTCTACAGCGTGGTGCTATGAGACGACGCTATGAGGATGATGGCATCTCAGATGATGAAATTGAAGGCAAGCGAACATTTGACCTCGAAGAAAAACTTTCTACCAACAAATATAATGCCAACTTTGTAGTGTTCATGGAAGGCAAAGGTGAGTGCCCTTTTTACCATACTGGCTTTCCAAGGTGAATATTTCACCTAACTGCTGTGACAAAGCAATTTTTATTTTCTGATGCTATTGGACTCAATAAATATTAAAATTCTAAAAAAAAAATTCAGCCCCTTCTTATAATCTCAATTGATGCTTATAATAATAGAGTGTTTGAAAATACAAATGAAAATTATAGCAAAAATGGTACAAAATCACAAATAAATGAATGAAACACAGATTTTCACCTATAAGAATTGGTAGGTAGGTAGGCAGACAGACAGACAAACAGAGAGATATAGAGATAGTAGTTCAGAATTTACTAAATAAATATAGAGTACTAATATAACTTGATGGGATAAGCAATCCCATCTTTAATAAAATGCTATCTTCAGCCTCCCCATACTAATTTATTTATTCTGCTATGTAAGCTGTATTAAAACATACATGAACTTTTAGCATAAAGTCAGAAAAGCAAGAATAATTTATCATACTCTTGCTATTCCTGCAAGACTTATAACTCAGCATGTAGCAATAGTACTTATATACTGCTTCACAGTGTTTTACAGCCCTCTCTCAGCTGTTTACAGAGTCAGCATATTGCCCCCAACAATCTGGATCCTCATTTTACCCACCTTGGAAGGATGGAAGGCTGAGTCAACCTTGAGCCTGGTGAGAATTGATCTACCAAACTGATGTCAGTCAGTGATCAGCAGAAGTAGCCAGTAGTACTGCGCCACTGCAGCTCTTGTAATTCCTCCTTTCCTCATCACAGCATTGGGA